TATTCTACAGAAAATGAATAAATCAGAACATAGGGAACACCGAATTTCAATTAACGACCATATTTCGGAAGAAACAACTTCAAGTGATGAAGAAACAGCTTTAAGTGATAATGAAATATCGCAAGTCGATCTTCAAAATCCACACAATAGAAAAAAAATAGAATATGTTGTTTGTTCACCAAACAAGAAGTATGTTGCATCTGCGAGTTTGGAAGATAGTTCGGTTCGCGTGTGGACAATCACGGAAGACGTAAAAACCACGGAAGAAAATCCAAAACCCGAATTAAAGTTGGTTTGTTCTTTTGAATTTAAAGACATAGATTTGAAGAAACCAATTAGAATCTCGAATTCCATGAATCTTCTTATAGGAAATTGCATTAAACATTCGTTATCTCTCGGTAAGCATGGAGTTAATTTTAAAGTTGTAATTGCATTTTTTTTTAATATCGCGTCCAATTACTGTATTCGATAGAAATCAGAGATATAATAAACAAGAATAAGATGATATTAAACGCACAAGAAATCGGGGGAAAGGGAATATCAAAAGTACCAAATATCAACGATAAAGATACCAAGATAATTGGAATATTCAATGCACAAAAATATTTAAAAGGAAGAATTGATTGCACTGAATTTCTTGGAAATGGAGATTTGGTAGTTATCGAGGGAGATCCCGCTTATCAGGCCCACATTATTTCTGAAAAAAAAAAATCGGTGGCACTGCACGGATATCATCAAACTCGTAAAATATAGACGTTGCATTATTTCTCAGGAAAGAGTACTGATTCTCTTAGATATACCTTTTGTGATCATGCAATGGAATTTGTTAACACGAAAGTTTGAAGCACAATACGAATTAGATTGGAGTTTGGCATCTTGGAAATCGATTAGTATGAAATTAAACTGTAATGCTGAACATTTAGCAGTAGCCGGAAATCTGAACGAAACATCAAAATCAAAAGTTTATTTTTATTCAACAAAATCTCGAAAAATGATAAAAGATGGTAAGTACTATTTGGTGTGCAATTAAACTATCTAATTTTATTACTAATGTATAAATTTATTTAACAGTATCGTTTATGGAAAAGTTCGGCGATATTTCTGGTACATATCAAAAATGCTATTCATGTCCAAGTAAACTATCTATATTTGTTACTAACCTATATAATTATTTAATAGATTCATCAGATGAAACCAACATCCATATGAATTTTATTACATTAAAGAGTGTGGAATTTTTGTTCGTCTATTTTCAAGTGGAAAGATTCTACGTTATTGATCTAAGCTTTTTTCTGAAATCAACAATTAAATTAAAGCATGATTTGTCGGTCGGAAACACCATCATTATTTCCAATCGTTCACAAACTCCCGGTTATATCATAAGATCTGATGATCAAATGGAAATTGAAAGTTTATCTCTAAATACAGAAAGTCCAAATAGCAAAGATGAAGATGATAATGTAGATGAAATAAAAGAAATAATAATGAATACCTATGGAACGTATAAAGAAGTCCCAGAAATTGGTCAATATAAAAAACCAAAGTACTATGAAGGTCAGCAATACACCTGGATTGTTGAGTGCGTGAAGAGAAGCAATAAATCCATAGCTAGGTTAACAGCTAAGCATTCTGCGAAAGAAGCAAAAGAAGCGGAAAATCAGAAATCAGAAATTGGCTATGTAGATGTTTATTTACGCATGCGCAAAAAGAAAGCATATGTAAAATTCCAACAACTCAAAAACGATGATTTGATGTTAATTTCTTCTTCTAGCATACAAATCTGGACAGCAAATGCTACCAACGGTATTAAATTACTTCATTATTGGGCTCATTTTGATTCGCTTTATGAATTGGATACAGCAATAGATTCTATGGGCAAACAACTTGAAGTTTTAAAGGATAAATTTAATTTTTATTCTCAAGATTCCAAAAACTTGTTACCCCTTCCGTACTTCGATCAAATGATTAGGTACAACAAAATAATGTATACAATAACAAGGATGCCTCAAGGTTCAGATACGGGTTCGAGTACGGGTCCGATTAGAACAGATTCTCAGGAATTTCGCCATTATGAACTCTTAAATAGATATAGAAATAATATCGATATTGTATACGGAAGGGAGCTGCTCCGTGACTTTATTAAGACAGAAAGTGCTAACTATAGTGAGGAGCTCTTTGAATTAATTCTCAAAAATAGTTTGGCAAAGTTTAAAAATGTTACTTTTATTTCCGAGATTATCGAATCATTAAGTATGGTCAGCTATAACCTTTTAGAATTAGAAACACTCGACGAAAATTACAGATTTACAGAACGTTTTTTATCCGCAACCGCATTATTAATTCCTGATGAAAATGAACGTCTTATAGATAAAACATCTACTTCAATTTACAAAGACCCTTATAAAACTTTGCCATATTCATTTAACACATCCTTTTTCGATCGTCTATCTTTCTGGCCGGAAAAAAATCATACCAGATGCTACCATAAAACCGTTAAATTAATGGTTCCCTTATTAGGATTTGCCACCTATCCTAAATATGATTCTATTTATAAAGAGTTGATTTCTCCACAAGGCAACCCTTTCACATCATTAGATTCTCCAGAGTATTATAAATGGCCCAACATTAAAGCTCTTGTCAACTTCAAGTGGAACACGTATGGGAAAAAGTATTATTATTTGATATGGTTAATTTACTCGATATTTTTACTATGTTTTGTCATAATTGCAACAATTCCATCAAAGAATATCTCATGGAAATACCAGGTAGCTCTTTTGGTGACGATAATCTTGCTGGGAATTTTTCTGTTTACTTTTGAAATTCGTTCATTTATCTACAATCCAAAAAAAGATTATAGTAAAAGCCCTTGGAACTGGTTTGGTTTGTATCCTTAATATTCAACACATAATATTTATTTTATTAAAAGTTCTGACTTAATTTAATTTACAGATGTTGCAGCAATACTTTTTCCAACAATAACCTCGTTCACATGGCTTATTAACATAGACCCGCCGCCGTTATGGATTATCGTTATATCAACACTCGTACTTGAACTCAGATTTTTAGTTTTTCTCCGTGCCCTTGATAATTACGGAACATATTTTGCAATTATGGTCGGAGTAATAAATAAAGTTTATTACTTTATTATAATTTTAGGGATTATTGTTTTAGTATTTTCCCATGCTTTACATCTCTTATTAAGACCGACCACCGAATATTCTTATGACAAACCAAGTTACAACGATGACCAAAACAATCCATGGAACCTTGTTGCAAGATATCAATCCATTTCCACCGATGGAGTTATTGGAAATCAAACTCTTATTGCAACTCCAGATGATAATACAAACCCATTTTCGATATTATATACTACTCTATTAGTAGTTTATTTCATGTTAACGGGTATAGCATGATATAATTACGTATGTGTTATATATAAATTAATTACCGTACTAAATTTTTAATCATTATTAGGAGACAGAAGTTCGGTCTCGCCATGGACTCTGGGAAATAATCCGACATTGGCGTTAATATTAGTTGTGTTTTCTTTTTTCACAGCAATTTATTTAATGAATTTATTGATTGGTTTACTTAATACGGCAATAGAAGATACAAATAATAAGGAGTCACTTTTACACTTAAGGGGGGAGGTTGAATATTTTACTTTTATTTATGATCGATAACATTATGCAATGTATAAACTTAAAATACTTATCGCTTATAGATTTTGGCGGAAATCGAACTTTTTTGGATGTCTCCCCGTCAAAGGAGAAATGAAAATTGGTTTCCGAATATTTTGTAATTTTTTCATAAATACTTCTCATGCATTCCTACTTAGAAGATGACTTCACCAATTTCTAATGTGAAAATTTTTTTCCAGATATTATGAAGTGTCTGTTGATAAACTTGCCAAATATCTTAAGAAAATAGAAAATGAGGGATGTGATGAAGCCTTACGGCAACTTTTACCTACTATTGAAAAAGTTGTCGAACGCGAAAAAAGTGATGAGAAAAAATTTGCTGGTATTTATAAAAAATTGGATGAATTAATGAAATCAATTAAACAAGGACAAAAGTAAACAGATACTATAAGAATATATATATATTAGAAATTTATCTATATTTAGGACAATATTATTGTCATTAGTGCATGTGCAATATACGTAACGGTAATTCATTAAATCTTGATGTATTGGAACGACTATTTTATTATAAAATGTGGATTTAAAAAGTATGATCATATATTGTTATCAGCGAGTCTGTAGGTAAATTCTTCTTTCTACCTGAGACATATAAGAATTGACTCATTATTAATTAGATCCTTGCCGTAGCTCCATTTTCAGCCTTATAAGAACTTATTTCCGAAAAATAGTTGTATTCGTTAATAAAAAAAATGCACTAATGCAAAAATTTTTTTGCTCTCGATTTTTGCACCGAGTATATTTATATTATCCTATAACCTATCGTTAGACTATTTCATATACATGTATTTCGAGAAAATCCGATTTTTTATAGAATCTTTTTGAGTGAGTTAATGATATTTATAAACATACATATAGTCGCCAATGTATCCTTTTTAAAAAAAAATGCTTAAGCCTTATATGAATTTATGTATAATATTTATATATTTTTATTTTATTTATTATTTTAGAAAAAATTGCAATGTTAAAAATATATTTAAAGATTTCTTTTAATCTTTTAATAAAGTAACTAATAATTTTATAATCATAAAATTATTTTGTTTATACCTAAAAGTCTTGATGAAAAGAATTTATTGTAAATTTTTATAACAATAGCTTAGATATATAAGATTTTCAAGCTATTATATAAAATAAAGTTCAAATTGTAATCATATTTTTGATAATTGGTAAATTTTAACTTATTGATAATCTCATGTAATTATAAATATATTTATTTGTGATTTTATAAACAAATGCATTTTTTTTATTGCCAAAAATAAAAGAACAGCCTGAATATATAAACAGTAAATTTATTACTAACACTAATAAATATTCATATAACTGTTATAGGAATTTAAAAGACAAACAAGTAAATAAAGCATTATTATTAAATTAGGTTTTGCCTTTTCTCTTGTGTATATATTTTATTTGCTTTTTATATATTTAATTTATTTATATACTGTATATGTATATTTGAAAATCATATAAGATAAATTAAATACTTCAAATAAATAATTATTTTTTAAAAATGAATCAAAAATTTTTAGGTTACAAATTTATTACTCTATAATTAAGAATATACATTGTTGATAAAATTTTTAAAATTTTTATTATTTAAAATACCCATGTGATTTCAAATGGTACAGCTACTTCAGACATTATAACTTAAAATTCAAGTTAACATACTTCTTTGTAATTTTAAATAACTATTTGTAACAAAACAAAAGAAATATTTTTTGTTAAGAGTTTAAAGTAATTAATATAATAATTTTTTGAATAATTTTACATTTTTTATTACAGATAAAAACTCTTTATAATAATTATTTAAATGTAACAAAAACAATTCTTTAATTCTTTATATACAGTATATTATATAATGAACAACAATATTGTGCTATTATATAAACAATCTATACATAATAGCATAAAATCTAATTCTGTTATAACCAGTCAATATAATGATTATAAATAATAACAATGATATTGTAGAAGTTGTTTTATAATAATATTATTAATAAAAAAAATAAAAAGTAAAAAGAACTTAGTCAAGTTATATATTTTAAGTTATTTATTTATTATCTTAAAAATACTATTAATGGTTACATAAATCTTTATTAGTATTAATGACAGATTTATCATTTGTCTGTTATACTAATTTTATTTTTTTTATACAAAAATATCTTAAAGTCTTTGTTTAAATATTATAAGTTTATAACTAAACATTATTTTTTGATTCTACTTGTAATGTCAAAAATATTAAACTTATTTTATAAAAAATAAAACATTAATCTGATTAAATAATATATACAATATCTTTTATTTCTATAAATCTATATATTATTTTAATTACAATTCTGTTAATTTGTTAATAGATATAAAACAAATTTAATTTTATTGTTAATTTTATTGGTTTTTTGAAAAATAATAAAATAATATATTTTAATATATTATTAAATTCAATATAATTTTTTTTAATTTTTTTATATATTTTATTTTATATAATCTTTTGTTATTAGACCTGTAAATCAATAGCATAGTAGATATTGCTTCTAGATCTCCAAACACATGTTTTTAGTTCAATACTTACAAGAAGCAAAAAGTTTATTTATTTTCTATATATGTTTATTAAATATTCTATATATGTCATATTCAATGATTCTTATTCATATCTATATTTAGTTGGGCTGCATAAAAATAAGACCTCTGGTTTTTTCAAAAATTATGAATTAAAAATAAATTAAAATACAAAAGATTATATAAGACATAACTTCTAATCTAACTTTGATAAAAGCTTATAGAACTCTAATTCAAATTGATAATAACAAACTTTATTATACAATTCAATAAAGTTAAGCTTAAACCAATTTATTTCAATATGAAGCTTGTGGATTTATTTCAATTGTAATGTTTTATAGACTTAAATATATAATTAAAAGGCAAAATATTAATTATAAATAATAAGAATTTAGACAAAAATTGTCAAGTCAAGTATGTCTAATAAGAATTATACAAGATTAAATCAGAATTTAAGCAAGAATACTAGTTTTACAAGTAATGAAAACAGTAGTACTATAATATGCCAGTGACATATCTTAAGAATTAATAATAATATATAATTAAAATAATTGAAGTTAATTTTTATAATAATATTTTATATTGTCATATATGGTTTCTATCTCAGAAGAAAAATAAAAATGAAGAATTAGTAACAGGGAGACACTTTATATGAAAGGAGCCAATATGGTATACTGAAGTTTCTAAAGATATACAAATTAGTCCAATTCTGAGATATACAAGATTAGATAAAAGAGAAAATATTGATTTGTTCGTGTAAAGATCAATTTATTTATTCAATAAAATAGAAGTTCAAGCCTGCCAATTTTTAGATAAAATTAAAAATTTTATATACATGTTTGAAATATAATATTTTCATATAGGATAAATATGTTATAGTTAAAATATAAACTAAAGTATAGATATTATTTTTATCAAAATATTCAAATATGTTAACATTTATATAGATAAATACTTTGGTAAAGATAATTTAAAAAATAAAAATAAAATAAAATAAAAATATTTTAAAAATAGTAAAGGTATAATAAATGTTATACATGTTTTCTTATTATTATAAAATAAAATTTGATTAACAATATGATTCCTAATTACTTACTAATTTGTTACTTGATAATATAAACATAATATGGTTTTAGAAAAATGTCCAAATTAAATACAAACACATTGTTACACTTGATTTTTATTCAAGATCTTCAATAGTCCTTGTTTGATTTTTACTAGCATTTACTTTTGAAATATTATTCATTCTAGAATGATTCTTGTATTACTATTCTTGTTATTGTTTAGCACTATGCTTTTTGTACTATTGTTACTGTAAAATATTTTCTATTTTATTTAATTATCTTTATTATTGTATCTTTACCAAAGTATTTATCTATATAAATACTACTATAGTTGAATATTCTGACGAAAATAGTATTTATATCTTAACTTATATTTTTACTATAGCATATATT